CTATCATTAAAACGTGGAAAAACTGTATCACAGTAAATCATTCAACAATTGAGTGGTAATTCACATACATGTACATCATTCATATTTAAAGTTTTCAAAGTACAAAATGTTTCCAAAACATATGCAGAATAATCTAAAAAGCGGCCATTTTGGAATTATTCCATGAATAACTTATAATACCAATATTCAAAATTCTCAAATTGTTCGTGATAGCCATATGTTGCCCCCATAACACTACATATTATTTTTAAAGCATGGATCACCAAACAAAATTTAGGGATATGATGGAGTGTTTCTGCCATAGGAACCGATTCCCGAATTAGCGTCAGACGCAATGTAATTCTATTTGCGCATGCGTAACCTACCTAGCAACGGGCGAGGGTAGGACAGAAATATAAAAAGTCATAAGAGCACCGGTAGACATGCGACATACTTTAAAGAGTTTTGTTTAAAGATAGCGGAGTGAATGTGGGTGGGTGCAAATGAGGACAGCTAAAAGAATTATTTAAGACAGCTGAAAAACATGGATTTCCAGTTGAAATAGAGGTGGTACGTGTGTGTTTCAAGAGTAAAATATGACCGTGAAATAGTTTTTCAACTCCCAAAATACCCGCAAAAAATATGAAAATATTACGTTATAGTCAAAGATAATTTGCATGCTCGTTATTCTTGCTTAGGCAAAATAGTGTGTAAATCCGAGGCTGGTAAGAGTTAGTTGAAAGATGATGACAGTTACCTTTTGTCCTCCCTTCCGGCTTGTTGACCCCAGGTCACGCGATATGCGCAAGCGCACAAACGATGAACGCTCGCTTTCAATAGACCATTTTCCGTTCACTGCGAGAATCACGCGTTATGCGTGAAATTGAACGTCAAACAAGACAAACAAAGGTCATACCGTCGTAGCGGCGTCAAACATCTATCTCATGAGATTCGACAAACGCGAAAGTATTTTGGGGGACATTTTCATGGTTAATAATGTGCTGTACACATTTGATGATAGGCAATTTCGATGAAGTATTAAGGGTATTCGAAAGCAATATTCTTCTGTCGAAGATCGGCCGGTTGATGTGAGCTACGAAATAAAGAAATTCAAGTTCAAAATCAAATCGTTCGATTTTTGCGGCAGACGTTCGACGCGCGTCATTCATGCAACTCGCAGTTGAATGGAAAATCACCTATTCTGGAACTCCCAATTGTAAACTTTTCAAAAAAAACATTTTTGATCAATGTTTGAGATCGTTTTGTGGGAAACTTAGTTTATTCTTATTTCAGAAATTTGATCATTACAGTGACGGAACCCCTCTTACTGGATTTCAAGGATTTCAGAGTTGTTAATGGGTATGTAGATAAAAAGGCATGTTGCTATACGCTTTTCTTGAATATGAAATACCCACCACGGGGAAATCATCTATATTGTTGTGTATTGTAAATCCGTACGATCACTCATTTCAAACCAATCTGGCAAATAACGTGACAATGCGTTTAGTTGGAAAACAGATATCGTATTCAAACAGATTGGCATGGATGGCACACTGGGAAATAAACCTTCTCGCTTTAGGCAGTGGTGCCACCTCTCATTGTTTCGATTTTCCATCATTTCATGTAAGATTCTGTCCCCTTGTGGGCAGTAAAAAGGTTTTATTCCTGTGTGTGATGTATGTCCATGAAAGGTGTTCGGGCAAGACGTGGTATCGACGTCCCACTGGCGTAACTGATACCGGCTTTGCTGACGCCAATGATACTGGCCGTATACTAGTAGTTATCTCAAGAAGGTGGTTCCACTGCCAAGTTAAGTAAATGCGCGTGAGTAGAAAGAACATCGGCGTCTGACAGCCTATAGCAACGGTCGTCACTAAGTGAGGCACTGCCCAGTCTGATTAAAATGAGATCATAGTTTTGGTTTCATTGTTTGTTTGCTTTCTCATTGTTTTTAAATATGTAATTAATTATTTCTTATTCGTATACTCAATTTTATTTTATTTAAACGTATTGTATATTGGCTGGTATTTTGTTTAAAAGCTTTGGTAATCACCGCGGCAAAATACCAAAAGGTATATGTCGATAGTTATAAAAATACAAAGTAATGAAAAATACATTTTAAAACAATACAGGCCGTACAATATATAATATGTTACGTCGTCCACGGTGCATACACAAACTCAGCGTCTCTATGTGCACAAACAGATTCGTTCACGGTTCGAATATCACTGTTTTACCATAACGTAGAAAGTAAACAGAACTGGAATGGTAAATGATTCAAAGTTGGTCTTTAGTTTTTCCCATTATGGAGGCGTAAATTACTAGTAGTATGTTACCATGCAGGTGATGGTACTGTTTGATGTTTTTTCTTAGAAACTAAACAACCCATTCATGTGTGTTGCTTACGAGGAGTTCAATTGTAGTATGAGATATGTAGCTGGCATGTTATTTTAGCCCATTTCGTAATTTCGCTAATTCAAGATGGCGCTAATTTAAATATATAAAGATATAAAGTGCCAAC